TCATTTTTCTGGCTAACGTTACTAACGTCACTAATGTCAGGGATGGGAATCGTATGGAATAAGAAGTGTGGTTTCAAGTCTGTTTCAACTAAATGTTTCCAGTTCCTTAACAATTCTATTAACAATTTGCTTAGTACTTTTATGGAAGCAAATATCTTGCGTGGGAAACAGAGTATTTTATGGCATTCCACATTCAATTTACAAATTGCGGATGAATTCAGATGCTCGTGAAAAATCACGGAATCATTTGGTTTGAGTATTTTGTAAAAACTGAAGTTGTTCAGAATAAGATTCCTGATCACTAGTCATCATCCAACCCCCTTTCACGATCCACTCAATTCCCAGTGTATACAATCAAGTCCAACCTACATTTTTCTTATTCTTATTGTATATGCTCTCTTTAACTTCAAACAACAACAAATAACAGAAAGTAAAACTGACTGTAAATGTGTTAGTTTCAACCTCAGCCAATATATTCGCCGTCGCATTACTGCATGTTCTATGTGTGTCTGTGGGTGTGTAGGACAGACAGAGCTGACTGTTGCCAGGGGTGGGTTGTCACATCAATGGAGCAGAAAGTATTCTGTTAGGTAACCGACCCATGGCAGCTCTCATTAACCCCTGGTGAGTGCACTCTTTCAGGGCTATGTGGGTCTGCACTGTGCCCCGAGCCCTAACCCAGACCCTTTGAATCTGACAACACCGTTCTGACAGGAAACTGTAGTCCACACATATGAAAAACAGAACATACAGATGTTCCTTCTTCATCCACATCAGTTTTCTATGATAAAACTTAAAGAACAGTTCAACCAAAAAAATTTTATTCTGTCGGGGACACTGAAAATGTCCTCATAAATCACTTTCTGTGAAGGCGTAGGTTTAGGTTTGGATGATAGTATATTTAGTCATTTTATAGTCTTAAATAAAATATCATGTCTTTGTGGGGTCCGATTTAAAGACCCCACAAAGTCAAACTTTCCTTATTTTACTATCTTTGTGCGGTCCTCACAAAGTAGTAAAAACAAGTTCACACACACACACACACACTTGATGTGTGGAAGACAATGGAAGCAATCAAAATCAACAAAAGAGCAATGATATGCAAGTGCTATAACAAGTCTCAAAGCTAGTGTTAGAGGCCTTTTTTGCTTTTGTTATTTGTATAATAAATAAAAAATAAAACAAATAGATAGAACACAAAAAGATAAGAGAAGCAAGTGTTAGTTTTTTTTAATTTTATTAAAAGGGGCAAGTTTTTTTTTTAATAAAGAATAGAATTATAGATGGAAGAGAGAATTAAAGAATTAAAGATGGAAGAGATGTGCTGTTAGCCAATTACTGTGGAGGCAAACTTTAATGCCTTGAATTTAATGCGACCAGCTATTGGTAGCCAGTGCAAATTGATAAACAGAGGTGTGACGTGCATTGTTTTCTGCTTGTTAAAAATTAATCTTGCTGCCACGTTCTGGATTAATTGTAAAGGTTTGATAGAACTGGCTTGGCTTGAACAAGGAGTTGTAAACCACAAGCAGTTCTGTCTTAGCCAGGTTGAGTTGAAGGTGATGGTCCATCATCCAGCAAGAAATGTCTGCTAGACAAGCTGAGATGCAAGCAGCTATCGTCGGATTATCAGGAAGGAATGAGAGGTTGAGAGTTGAGTGTCATCAGTAACGTCATCAGCTGTTAGAGTTGATGAAGGAGGGGGAGGAGGAGGAGGACAAAGGAGGGAGGAATATACACACATACATCTAAATGAAAACAAAGAAAAAAATGTAAATATTTAAAATGATATACATGTTTGTATGTACATATGTGTGTATATATTTATATATATACACACACACACATATATATATATATATATATATATATACATGAGGGTGAGTGACAGAATTTTTTTTTATATTCGGTTGAACCATTCTTTAAATTCAATAACTGTAGGGAGTACATATTTGTGCTTAATACTTCCCATGGTCTCGTTTGTGTCAAATCAATATGAATAATTACTCACGACATGAATGAAACACAAACCTTAATTATCTGTTTTTAAGTCACGTCTCCCAACCTGAATAATGGATGTCCATCACGTCTTTATAATCCTGTCCTCATTAGAAACCAGAACTAAAATGAAAGGGAGTCTGAACAAAAGAGTGTAGGTATGTGGCAAACTGTGGGACTTACACCAAGGAAAAAATTTACCACTAATTAAATCCTGCCAGCCAGTCAGACTTATCTTCCTGCTGCGGGAACAGAAAGAACCCAAACGACATGCATATTTCCAGCAGAACATTAAAGAGATATTAAAATGATAGTCCTCTTCTTTGGGAGGTGTTCATGAACAATGAATGTGCTTGTTCCTTCCTTTTATCGGCCATGATAGGCATTTCGCTTGCTCCTTCCTCATTTCTCCCTCTGCCTCCGGAGTGCACAAAAGCCATAAAGCTCCTGATTGGCGCCTCTTTATAGCACTTTGAAGAGCAAATCACTTCACAGCATGTTTATAGCATGCGTGCCCATTTTACCTAATGCTAACAGCTGAGAATGATTACTTAATGGGGCTTTAGAGGAAAAATGCCACATTTGAGATTTGTTTTGGCAAACGAGTTTCACTTTACATGATAGCAAAATATCACAGAACCATCATCGCTCAAGACCTTTTGTGTTATGACAGAACAATTGATGATCTACTACTTATATCCATTAGGTACAAGACCATGCTGAGAAAGTCAAGTAAAATTTTGAAGGTTGTTAAAGGCCTTCTGACCGGCTTTTTTTGAATGAATGTATGACATGTTCAGTGATGGCTTATTAATTGCCTTCACGTGATACTGGCCTAAGATGACGTTTGCATTGCAATCGTGCAACAAGTTGTAAATGGGATGATAGAGATCAAAGTCTAGGCTACAATGTGCATTGTACATTCTGACATAAAAGAACATTAATGTCACACAGTCTGGCTTTTACCCAAGATCTTACCGGAATTTTATTGTACAATCTGACAAGCAACAATCACAAATGATCATACAATATATACTGTCTTACGGCCTGTTCACACCATGATTGATAACTAAGGTAACTATAACGTTAGTTAACGTTATAACGTTAGCGTCCACACCAGAATGCAATAACATTCTATTTATCATAGGAATGTGCTACAATTATGTCATCTGCCACTTCAATTCCTTGAACTCTTTAAAGCAGGATTATGATTGGCTTTCTATGTTTTTAGAATTATTTTTATGGGAAAAATAGTTTTGAAATTGATTCCAATTATATTGTTGCTCTGTGACGTTATTGTTATAGTTGTGGTGTAGACTCTGCTATTCTTTACATTTTAGAATGATTTTTAAAACTATATATTTATCATTATCATGATAGTTATTGTCCTTGGTGTAAACGGGCCTTTACTCTTAGTTCTGGTTTCAATAACAGACCTAAAACTACAATAAAAACAACTGGAAATGAAACATACCTGACACTGCAATGTGCATATAATACTAAAACAAGCAAGTGTGTTGATGTGGATTAGTGACATTTTAAATGACATTTCACATAACTAATCCTCCATTCACCTGAGAGAGGGAGAGAGAGAGAGAGAGGGAGGGAGAGAGAGAGCGCCTTGGCACTTCTAGTCAACCTTGTGACGAAAGTGCAAAGATGGCAACTTCTTTCAGGCAGATGTAAAGCTCAAAGGCTTCAGGATAAGTCTGCCAGAGCAGCTACAGTCTGGAACACAAAGAGCAGCCTCAGTGAACATGGCACACACTGTCAAATGGACTAGACTCAGCAAAAGTATGACACATCCATACTAGATCCACTGACAGGGGCGAGGCAGCCAGAAGATACAGTTATCCAGACAAACCACATGCAATCAGGCTGTTCCAGGAGGATAGAGAGGATAAAACATTTTGAAATAGATTTACATGTCTGTCCGATAAAATTCCATGGGCACCATTTCTTAATCAAAATATTTAGACTTGCAACAAGCCTGACTCCTTTGCATATTGTTTTAGTGTATACAGATACAGCAACTCAGACACACTTATAAATACATTGCTGTTCATTTCGATATGATACTGGAACATTATACGAACAAAACTTTTTGTTTTGTTTTGTTTATGAAAAGTATCTTATGCGCACCATGACTGAATTTATTAGAATGAAATACAATAAAAAAAACAGTAATACTGTGACATATTAAAACAACAAAAAAATATTTTATATTTGAATATATTTTAAAATGTAATTTATTCCTGTGATGGATGTTAAAGCTGAATTTTCAGCACCATTCCTCCAGTCTTCAGTGTCACATGATCCTTCAAAAATCATAATATGATGAATTTGCTCAAGAAATGACCATCTCACGATCAGCGTTGAAAACAGTTGTGCTGCTTAATATATTTGGTGGAAACCATGATACATTTTTTCATCATTCTTTGATGGAAAAGAAAAGAAAAGAAAAGAAAAGAGAAAAGAAAATTATCTGAAATAGAAATCTTTTTTAACATTATAAATGTTTTACTGACACTTCTAAACAACTTATTGCGCCATTGCTGAGTAAAGGAGTTAATATTATGTCACCTACTATTTAATGTTTTTTTTTTAATCTTAATTATATACAATCTTAAACGTTACATAAAATGTTATCCAAATCACTGTAAACAGACCGTCTCCGGCAGCTCGCATCTTTTTGCTTGTCATTACGTAGGTGAAACGGCGCCCCTTGTTCTTCTCCGCTGAGGGATGTTTGCAAACGGATTCACGTTCGACCTAAGAGGATAATTTACGACTTTAAACTAGCGGTGAGAAATGCTTATTACTTCTATGCTATTTGTTTCAACCGTTTATATTTGCATAGTCTGCTGCGCATAGCACGGTTGTTTTATCTACTGCTCCGCGTGAGTCTCTGAAGCCTCGGTGTTTCTGTGTCGTTTGTCCGCTTTTGACAAGCTAGTCGTCAGCGATCTCCTTCGGCCTGCTGTCGCTGTAGCTTCTGCTAAACAACACAGAGCTGAATGAATGAGCTTCCTTGTCGTCTTCGTTTGCCTTGTACTTAAAGTAATTAATTTAATACTCCGTTTTTCTCCCTTTTAACTGTTTCAGTTGTGAGACTTTTATCACTGGCTATTATTATGCTGCATGTTTATTACTTCTATTTATTTTCAGGTGGAAGTAAATAATGGCTCCTCAACCCGTCATCCGATCTAGACAGACGGAAAAAACAATAAACGGAAACCCAACTCAAGTTGTCTGCACGGAGTTCAGCAACTACATTTTTATAGTTTTGACACAGTATGGTAAAATTGGGACACTTGTATCCATAACACCTGACACAAGGTCTGGTGAAATCAGCCTACCCATGTTCAGTACCAGAGTACTGCTGGGAAAGGATGAGGTAATGAAGTTCGTTTTTGTTGGATAATCGATATGGCAGATAAAATCATGTTTGTATTTCACCTTGTCCTTTTTGTCTCCTTTGCAGCCTCTTACACATGTCTATGCCAAGAATGTTGCAATGTTTGTCTCACAAGAATCAGGCAACCGACCGGTCCTGCTGGGCCTTTCACTTAAAGACAACAGCGCTGAAACTATGAAAAACGTTAAAGATATGATCAAAGCCTGCCAGGTTTGGTAAAACAGGAGGTCAAACGGCACTATTTCTGGATGAAGACAAATGACGTATCTGCACAGTTTTTACAACGTAAATCTTGACTTGTCAGAATGATCTGCAAGTGCAGTTGTTATCGCACACACTTTGAAAAGCTTGAATTTTAATGTTAAAATTAAGAGTGCTGTTCAAGATCACATCTGTTTGCCTCTGTATAATAGATGTCTTTCAGATGCCCTGAGATTAAAATGATATTTTCTTAACTTTTATTTTTTTGGTGCTTATTTAAATGTCTCACACCAATCCCAAAGTCTTTGAAGAGGCACCTGGTTCAACACATGCACTGTCTGACTGGATCTTTATTTATACTTAAAGGGATAGTTCACCCAAAAATGAAAATTCTGTCATTAATTACTCACTCTCATGTCGTTCCAAACCTGTAAGACCTTTGTTCATCTTTCTTCATTTTCAGAACACAAATTAACGTGTTCGAGTGGGGAAGTCGTGGCCTAATGGTTAGAGAGTCGGACTCGTAACCCAAAGGTTGTGGGTTCGAGTCTCGTAC